AAAGAATGAAGAAAGGAAGGGAGGGAGGGAGGAAGGGAGAGAAGGAAAAGTAGTACATGTAGTTTATGTAAATTCAACAGGCAGAAAACAAAGAGCCAATTAAAAAGTAACCAAAGGGCTACAGACATAACCAAGTTAATAGAACACTTGCTTAAAGAACACAAAGCCGTGGGTTCAATTCCCAGCATCAAATATACCCTGTCAGGTGGTACTCAACTGTAATTGCACCCCTTAAGATATAGAGGCAGAAGAACCAGGATTTCAGAGTCATCCTTGGCTATATAGTGAGCTGGAGGCCAGCCTGGCATATATGAGACCCACTCAGAAAGCAACCAACCAAACAACCAACAAAAACCAAAAGACTTGAACATTTGCAAAGAGAATAATTAGTAAATGACAAACAAGAATGTGAAAATATGTTCAGTATGATTGGCCACTTGGGAACACAAACGAAAACTATCATGTAGCAAAACCATACTCCACCACAGAGATTAATAGTTAAAACTGCTGGTGCAACCATCAGAACACCAGAAGCAGCGCGGCATGATGAGAGCTATCATACGTCACTGGTAGGAAGGCAAAACACAAAACCACTCTGAAAACAGTTTTCCATTTGCCCTCCTATTAAGAAAAGCAAATCTACTTGCTAAGTGGATCCAACCACCTCATTTCCAGACATTTAAACTAAAGTAATGACAACTTTTATCTATACAAAATCTACTTCTTAGGGATTTGAGGCATCTTAACAACCATTTTATCCTGGCAAAAATCCAGGTATATTTCAGTGTGGGTGAATGGAAAGAGCCACAGGGTGGAATGCAGCTCAAAAATAAAAACCAATAAATGACTGATCCTTATGACAACTTGGATAAATCTCAAAGATGTTGTGCTCAGCTGAAGTGGGTTACACATTGTTTGATTCTGTATTTGTGGAATTCTCAAAGCCAGAAATCTAAGGTGACCAGTGGCTGTCGAATGTTGGGGATGAGAGTGGCTGATGACAGTGGGGTGGTTCACAGGGCAGTATTGTGGAGGAAAATCAGTGACACGCTAATCTGTGTCCTGGTGACAGGGATGGTTAATACGAATTTACACTTGCTTTAAATCTCATGGGACTATGCCAGAAGAAACAGTGTTGCTGCATACTAGTTTCAAATATGAATAAAACAAAAATCAACTGTGGCAAATACTCAGTAAAAAGTTGCCAACAGATCTTTCTACTTGCTGCCATGTTGTATTGTAATTGCATTGTACTCAACTCAATTAGGTCTGTCGCTGGTGTGTTCATTTCCCCAGGGCAGAACTTAGCCTTTTGATCTCAATGTCTTTAATATCCCAGAGTATCTGGTGTCTGAAGTAAATAGTGTTGAAAGATGAAAATGATGAATCAAATGTAAATGGATCACATTATTTCAACTTTATGCTGGAAGAGCAAGAAGGAACTAGAACCCAGAGAAAAGTGGCTACTAAAAGGCTAAAGGATTCTAGAAAGCCTCATTCTGAGGTTTCATATGCTTTTCAGCAGGTATTAAATTGGAGGGAGTGGCTGAAGGATTTAACACTATAATCCACAATTTAAGAAATGAAGCCTGCATGTGCCCTTCGGTGACTAACTCCCTTTGAAGACACTTAATCATATAAAGCTTATTAATTCTTCAAGCTACAATGTGGAAGATGTGCAGGTAAATATTCTCAGCTTAGCACTGTCTTATTGAGTGAATGGAGCTTTAAACACTTTTGTTTAAAATCCAATTCATATGTGACCATAAAGGATCAAAATATTTCATAATGCGAGGGACTGAAGAGGTGGCTCACTGGTTAAGAACGTGTACTGGGAGGAAGCTGAGCTTAAGTCCAGCGCCTTAGACAAGATCTCCTGATAATTGATGGAAGCAGATACAGAAATTCACAACTAACTACCAGGTCAAGCTCCTAGAGTCCAGTCGAAGAGAGGGAGGAGTGACAATATTAGCAAAGGGGTCAAGACCATAATGGGGAAACCCAGAGAAACTTCTGACCGGAGCTGGTGAGAGCTCAACTACTATAGACTGACAGCTGCAGAACCTGCAGTCCTATGGACTGAACTAGACCCCCTGAATACAGGTGACAGTGGGTGGATTGGGCAGTTTATGAGGCCACTGGCAGTAGGTCCAGGATCTGTCCCTAGTACATGAACTGGCTTTTTGGAGCCCATTTCCTATAGAGAGATGCCTTGCTCAGTCTAGACACACTGGGGAGGACCTTGATCAGGCTTCATCGTGGTGATAGGACAGACTTCATTAACTCCCCATGGGAGGCCTTACCCTCTCTGAGAAGTGGATGGGGGATGGAGTGAAGGGAAGCAGGGGCGAGGTGAGAGGAGGGAGAACTGGGATTGACATGTAAAATTTAGGAATAAATAAACCCATAAATTCTTGATAATTTTCCATTGTGTATACTGTGGATAAATGATCTCTGAATAAGAAAAAAGGACAAGTATTGCAGTTGTGGAGGATAGGGGTTCCATTTCGAGGACCCCACACCACGGTGGCTTAAAACCGCCTGGAACTGCAGCTTCAGGGGATCCTGCTGTCCACTTCTGAACTCCCTAGGCACTTGCATTTCATGTCCAACACACACACACACACACACACACACACACACACACACACACACACACACACACACACACTACTTTACAAATAATAAAAATAAATCTTTTCCACAGTGCTGAAATTGTGTGTCTTTGGATTTGAGTTTTATGGCACCACTCCTAACAATCTACATCTCTCCTGTTTATCAGCATATTAAAAAAAAAGTCACTAGGAAACCAGAGCAAAGGATGCTTTCCAGAAAAGGGGACTTTCAAGGAGGCAACATTAGCTTTAAGAGCAGCCGAGAGACACCTCCAAAAATCCAAAGAGCATCTATTTAAGCCAAGTTCTGAGAGAAACAGAACACCAAGACATCTCAGTTCAGGACGACAGGTCTGGACTGTCATAGGAGCCAAGCACTATTAACAAGCTGAGAATGTCCGGGCCTTTAAAATAGCATGGGCAGAAAAGGCTAAGCCACCGCCTGCTTGTGATGTAAAGGTACAAAATGAATTGCTGTGCTTGGGATTCTCTCCATGTCCTTGCTCCATTTGAGAGATTCTACCACCTGGTACTGGTAGAATCTATATTCCACCAGGCAGTTGTTAAGTTTTATTACACAAATGCTCCCATCCATTATTCAAAGCAGTAATATCTACATGCTGTAATAGTATGACACAGACATGAAATATTTTCATATTAATGCTGTAGTTTTAAAATAGCCACACCTACTTTCTGATTACCTATGGAAATGGATACCATTTATCTTCCTGTAGCAACCCATTCCTGGAGTACAAAATAAATAGTCCCACTTAAGATTCATGGCTACAATGTCAAAACAACCCTGCTAGGGATAGGAATTCAACCACTCTCATATCCACTTCTGGTTTTGACACTCTCATTTCTTTGGTCTCTGTCAGTGGAGCCATTAAAAGCATGATCAGAAAACTGACAGCCAGTGTTTTCAAAACAAGTTTACCGATGAGCCTACAGAATGGAGAATTTTACCCTGCAAGTGTCAGCAGATGGGGAATGAAATACCATTACCCTATTGAGTTTTGATTGATCATTTAGAAGCCTCGTGCTCCATGCAGGTACTAAGTGGTTGTGCTGATCACTAACTAGATCTACAACATAAAACAGTGCCTGGAACTCAGCCATGGAATAAAAAGAAATATTCCTCAGTTAGTGCACAATTCTAATAAATGGGAATCAGTAAGATAAAAACAAGACTGAGTCACTCAACTTTGGGAAGTACTTTGCAGTACCAGTAGGTTTCAGACTTGACACAGTTCCTCGTGCACACATATTTTCCTACTCATTAACCCAACTCACCAACTATGGCTTCATTTCTCAATGCTCTGTCAGGGTCTGTGAATAGGTCTGGAACTCAAGATTCATGAGGCTATATTGCCAGTCACCTCAAGTAGGCCAAGTCTGCTGTGTGGATATACACAGCTAGAGAGTTTAGGTAATGAAAATCAAATTCAATTTTATACACTATAACAGATTTGCCAACAGTCAACTCCAGTGAGTTATGATGGACTCAGATAGCAAGAATCAAGGAAAAATTCTTTGAAAAGGTAAACCCTCCACTGGATCTTGAGGAATACACAGACTCTAGAAAGGCAGAAGGCAACATGAAGCTTGGTTGCCTGAGTTTGAATTTTAGCCTATGGCTTGTAAGTCTGTGACCGTAGACATTTATACAGAGGAAAGAGTACTATTATATATGCATAGTATCATCTTGATAATAAATTACTTAATGGATGAAAGGCACCTAGCATAGTACTTGAAGCTTAATAAACAGTAGGTAACATATATTATATGGGGCAAGGAAAAAGAATCAGCATTTAGCACCAAAAAATGGCAAAGTAAAATCCTAAAACTAGTATTTTCATTTTGTTTATTTAATTTCACCAGAAAATGAAAATACCCTGGAGTACATTACACATAAACCGCTAAATATGCATGACAATAAATTTCTGCTCACTCAGTGACAGCCCAGGGTCACTGATTATTGTATAACAGCTGAGGTTCTTTGGCACAAAAATAAGCTTCACACATAATGTTAGGGCCATAAGCACTTCCTCGGATATATCTGTAACGGTATGGTTTAACTGTACTACCAAACTCTGAAAAATAGTGACGCTTAGCATAGACTGTCACACCAACCCACACGACCATGGGCGCTGAGTATCTCATAGAAAGATGAAAGTGTAAACATATAGTGAGGGGGGTCATACAAAGCACAGAGGGCTCTATTGCTCCATTTCACATAAAAAGAGGGGTGTGAAAGCATCTAGGATTAGGTGGTCCCCTTATCTGAGCAGCAGACCTGTGGAGGAAAAAGATGCCGCAGGTGATCTACCCCTGGGGAGGACAAGTTGGGGAAAGAGTGTCAAAACAGAATGGCACTGTACTCACATGGTAAAGGAGCCGGGGGGAGCAGACACTCGCCGCAGGTCCGCAGCTTGCACCTGATGGATGCTAGAGGCAGCAGGGAATGAGCAGCGGAGACAGAGTCAGCAGGACAGCGTGGACAAACAAGGAACAAGCCGGGGAGAAAAAGAGAGACATACAGAGTTTAAACAGAAATTAAATGAGCGCATCACCAACAGCGATGAAAGAAATTAAAAAAAAAAAAAAAAGGGAAATTAAGCCAGCCATGGAAGTAATCCAGGGAAGCCGGTGATAGCAATGAAGCCAACAGGACACACAGAAGCAGTTAGTTCCAGGCAAGCCACAACTGGAGCACAGGGTCGAGGTGAGAGGGTGGGCCGTGGGCACAGGACTCATTGTCAATGGCACCTTTGCTCCAGGACATTCAGGACAACCCAAGGGCAGAGGCACAGGCTCCGACGTCAGAGTGGGTAGCCAGCACCACTGACTCCTGCTTGAGGAGGGGAGCCAATTTCATCCTTGTACCTTGCCTCTGAGAGCCATCAGAGAGCCATCTTGAAAATAGGGACTCAACCATCTTGAGCCTCCTTCAGCTGAATAGCAAAGGCTTTCTGAAAACTCCAGAAACAGTTTTTAAAATTTCCAATTTTGTCCCTCAGGTGCCTTAATTTCACCCATACTCTACGTACCAAGTAAAACTATAAACATAAACTATAAACTTCGCTTTCTTCATTGCTTTGTGATGAGGAGGATCAACAAATGACATTAGCAAAT